TAGGCTGGCCTCGAACTCGCAGCAATCCTCCTGCCTCTGCTTCCTGAGTGCTAGGATTACCGACATGCAGCACCACACCCAGCTCAGCAAGCCTTTTTATTTTGTAATCTACAGAGTGCTAATCTAACATTACACTTGAATACTGGACACTCTTTTCAAGTCAGTATCACAGAGTATTTTTCCTAGGAAATAGAGCTGAAAATATTACAAGTTGTATTCTCTATGCCATGCTTTTTTAAAAGGCGGGAAAGAAATCTAAAATCTAAAGAACAGTATTTCCCATTATCTTACTAGCTCTCCATAGCCATTCTTAAAAAGGAGTCATCTTTAAATCCCATGGTAATTTACAGAAAATATGCATCCATTCACACACTTGTGCATACTTAACTAATTATGTCCAATTATTATATGACATCAAGAGTAGTAATACAGTAATAGTAAAAACATATTTCAAAGTCTCCATATAAAAGCTATGATTAGCTACACCACTATAAATCACTAGGGAAAGACACATGAATAATTATGCCACCAGTTTAATTTAAACTGAATTTGATTAAACTGTGCTTAAAATTTACTATTTTATTTTTAAATCAAATGTATAACTTATTAGACCCAAACCTACTGATGTCAAAAGTTATTCTAGTTAACAAGAGTATTGTCTTTTAAAAATTTGAAAAATGCATCTCCAGGTGTGTTAGGCAAAATAAAGGCCCCTCAGCGCTGTCCATGTTTTAATCCCTGGAATCTACAAGGTCAGATTACATTGTAAAGAAGAATTAAGGCTATAGCTGAAGTTAAAGCTACTAGTCAACTGAACTTAAAATAGGGGTAGTATACTGAAACAGCTAGACTGGCCCAATACAGTGATATAGGTCCTTCACAGAAAGAGGGATACAGAAGGAAGACTCTAGCAACAGGGACTGACCTACCACTGCTGACTCTGAAGACAGGAAATCCAATCACAACAGGAATGAAAAAATAGACATTATGATAAGACCATAAGATGTTAAAAAATCCTGAAGAACTTTTACCAACAAATGATAAATTTAGATGAAATTTTTGAAAGCCACACATGAATAAGTATATTTTTTAAATAGGCCAGTATCTTAAAACCTTCTCACCAAGAACATTTCAGGTCCAGAAGCCTGAACTCTGGTGAATTCTTTTAAACACTTAAGGAAAAAGAAGTCAACATCAGTTATATACAAACTCTGTCAAAAAATAAAAACGGAATATTCTTGACTCATGACGAAGCATAAAGTTGATACCAAATATGCACCCAAAAGAAGATTATCATAAAGCAGAACAGTTTTACTCATGAGCATAACTACAAAAGATATAAATAAAATATAAGGTAATATAGTCTAACAACATTAAAAGGAATAATACATTACAAACACGCAAACGTGTTCCAGCAATGGAAAGGTAATTTAAAATCTGAAAATAAAGCAATGCAATCCACCAAACCAATGGGAGAAAAAAAATGATTCAATTATATCAAAAGATGTAGACAAGTATTTGGCCAACAGTAATACAATTCACAACAAAAATTGCGCAAACAAAATAAAAGGGAACCTCTATAACCTGGTAATATTTGCTTTCCTCTCCAGCCCCCCAGAAAATTTTAATGGTGACTAACAGTGCTTCTTCTGAAATTTTATCAACGTTGTTTGTCATCCTAACATGGGGACCGGGGACGGGGGGCGCTCACACATGAAATGATTATCTAGTATACTTGGAAATTCCAAAAACATCCACAGGTCAATTATTAGAATAAGGAAGTAAACAACAAAACTTTGAAAATAAACATTTTAAAGTGGGAACATTTATAGTAGCAAAATCAAAGATCTAAAATATATGTGGACATTTTACAGAAGAGTATAAAACATTTGCAAGAAATACTGCTGAAGTCTATACAAATGGAGAAACAGGATTAGGAAAATACCATAAATATTCCAGTTCTCTCCAAGCTGATCTCATAAATTCAATGCAATCCTTTTCAAAATCATTCCAAGGGCCTTCACGGAAATTGACGAGTTCATCCTTATACTCAAAGGGGAACATAAACAGCTAAGAAAAGCTGGAAAAATCTTGGACAAAAACAAAGATGGAAGACTTACACTACCAGACATCAAAACTTTTAAATCTACAAAAATTAAAACTGCGCAGTATGGTCAGGAGAATAGACAAGTTGACTAATCTGTGCAGTCACTGATTCATGAAAGATAATCCCACAACAGAATGGGGAACGGTGGTTCTCTGCACCTCCCCAAAATTAACTTTAACCTCTGTCAATTTCCAGGTGAATTGTAGGAAGATTAAAATATAAACCAACAAATAAAATCTTTAGCAGAAAACACGGGAACATATCTTTGTGACTTTAAGGTAGGCAAAGATTTTACATTTTAAAAAGTAGTAATAAGGGAAAAAATGATAAACTGGATAATACTGAAACTGTCGTATCATCAACAGACACTACTAAAAAATTTAAAGGGCAACCTAGAGTAGAAAATGTATCATACACATAAATATTTTATAAATATATATTACCTTACATATATAAAATATTTATATCCAAACTATATAGTTTTTACAAATAAGTAAGAAAAAATATAGATAACCCAACAGAAGGCACTTCACAGAAAAAGATACCCTAAAGGCCAATGAGTATCTGTGAAGGTAATCAGTGAGTAGTTATGAAGGAAAATGACAAAAATCTCAAAGCAATACTACTGCGCCCCCACCGGGACAGCAAACATGTAAAAACAGGCAATACTAAGTGCAGACAAGAAAGCAGAATTTCTGAAATATTCATTTACTGCTAATGGGAGCTGTCAACAAGCTCACTTTGGAAAACTACCTGTACACACAAGCATATGCTATAACCAATGGGTCTCTTGCTACATGTCCTATCAACAGAAATAAAAAATGTCCACCATAAAACACACAGCAAGACATTCACAACAATGTAATTCTCTAATAGTCAATAACAAAGAAACTAAATACTTATCAACAATGGGATAAAATAAGTACTCTATTCCCAAAAAGGAATATGACATAAGAGGAACAAACTATAGCTGACAAATACCTTATATTAATAAAAGAATCCGGACATTAAGCAGCACATGTGGATGATTCCATCTATACAGAGGTTAAGCATTGACAAACTAATCTGCCTAGGGCCAGAAATCAATCAACAGTGGTTGCATCTCTCTGTGTTGGTGAAAATATGACCAAAAGGAACAGAAAAAAAATCCTGGGATGACAGAATATTATATATTTTAATCTGCATAACTATCAAACAAGTATATACATTTATCAAAATTCTCTGGGCTGTTCGCAGATTTGTGTATTTTATTTCACATAAATTATACGTCAACAAAATTCTGCTAGCATTTAAACAACACACACAGAATTCAAGACCGGTGTTATGCAAAGTACTGAGTCTACAAACTATTTGTTGGGGGGATCCATGGTAAGTGCACCACAATGAGTACCAATGCACTGAGCCCTTCAAGGAGAAACTCTTACTACAGGAAACAGTAAGAGCCAAACAGTGAATCAAATTAAAATATGAAGTACTACATATTCTGGTGAAAGCACCTTTTCTTGACCCAGCCTGGGTTAAGCCTTGTTACAGAAGTGAAGAAAAGTGAGAACATGCTGAAGTTCTTTTCCGCTTAAATCAGACATTAGTTATGGCAACAGAGGACTGAAAGGTACTATCAGAAAACATCAGCTATTTTTTTTTTTTAACATCAGCTATTAAATGGCTCATTGCTGCCATCTGCTGGACACTATGTTCATGTGCCCTTGAATCACAAAAAGTACTAGCAAGAAAAAACAGAAAGCCCTAAACTGCAGTCTTTCCTTTTTTATGCAACAGGACTAAGACACTTTCTCTAAATTAAAATGTATGTTCCCTCTATACTTTTACAACTTAAAAAACCTCTGGTAACAATGTCTGTTTTTTCCAAACCACAGTACTGTATTAATATAGAAAATTACATTGCTTAAAATCTACCAGGGGTGTTAATGTATCCACAAAGATTACTAACTTGATTTTCTCAAAAATCATACTGTATATAAATATAATCATGATGAGTCACTTTTAAACACCCCTGCTATATTTTATCCATATGGCTTATTTATTCACAATATTTGTATTTCCTAAAATACGCTTGTATAAAATGCACGTTAGGTCTTACATCACACACATACCTGGGTTTCTTCACCTTTCAGGACATAGGAAAATAACATTTCCTGTCCTCTTAATATTTACTGGGACCATACACATGATTAGGGCTGGTCAACAGGTTGTGAGTGAGAGTGTAGGTGCCACCTGCAGGCCAAAGCAAGTAACTGCATGAGTGAGACTTTCTGGCTCCTCATGAAAAGGGGCCTCAAAAACGGACACCCGAGTGAGGTAGCTTAGGTCACTAAAGACAACTGCCTTAGAGAACTGTCCAGACCTACAGCAGACTTTCTAACAACAAAAAACTAAAACTTGTACCGCGTTAAGCCAGTAAAGAGCTGTTGCTTGAATGGGAGCTCAGCACAGCACAGCCCAGGGTTCTCAAGAGCAGCACTACTGCCAGGTTAGGCTAGGTAATTCTTTGTTATACGCACTACTCTGTGCACAGAGAGATGATACACAGCATTCCTGGCCTCCACTCACCAAGTGACATTCCTAATGTTACAAGTGAAACTGTCTCCACTGTCCTACGCCCCCTCAAGAACCACAGGCCTAGCTTAACCTGACCGATACACTATGTACAGTATGTACATGTCTGATGACGTCTGCTTATATGTGTGAGTACACTAATGTCCAATGTCATATATTCTCCATGCTTTACTACGTGCTTTATAGGCCCTTAACAGACATGAATTATTTTTCAAACTAGGAAATTTAATTCATAAATTAAAACTGAAAGCAATATATTGTCTTTTTATAGTAAGGTAAACAAACTATTTCAAAGGGTATATAAATCCATACATACTATGCTGTTCATTTCAGAAGACTCATAGCTCCCAACAGGATGGACGTTTCCAATGGGTTCCAAGCCCTCTTCATCCCACATGTACGTCCCATCAGAGCTATCGGATGGAGAGAGTTCAAATGAAGAACCAGCTCTGTAATCTGTATCCGGTGAAATCAAGTTATTTCCAGAAGTATGTTTTGCACATTCACTCCTGTCTTCAGTTGATTTAAAAAGAGATAAAAAGTTATTAATTCATACAAAATAGTTATCATTTCTACAATATAAACTCTATAACAGTTTCACATGTTATAGCAAAAAGGCTCAAAAAAAGTATTCACAACCATAGCATTTTCTAAGCTCTAAACAATTAAAAAGTCAAAGTCAAAAGCCAGTAGGCTTTTGTTAAATAGTAATGTTAAATAGTGAACAAAAGGAAAGTTCTGCCATCTGTATTTCTGCAACATTTCTAAAAATGTAAGTCTCATATTCCTTTAATATTTCCCAAGGTACTCATTTTTAACCACTAGCCAGGAAACTCCCTTCTTCTGCGTACATTACTTACCCTCACAGCCCCCTCCTGGTAAGGAAAATATTTGCTCTGGCAGACACCTTTGTAAGACCTTTTGACAATCAGAACTTTATATACATTTCTACACATGACCAATCCCTTCTTTAAACTACATGCCTTGATCCAAGTCCTTCAGTTTGTTCTTTATTTGGGATATATGGATACAGAGATACCTTTTCTCTAGTATTTAGTGCCAGGATAATCTACTGTAAAGGGAAACATTAAAAAAAAAAAAAAGCTCACTTTCTTCAATTAAAAAATATATGAAGCTACTCTGGAAGTACTGACTGTAAGATTGATAGTAAGATTTATAATAAGAAATAAAATTGCTAAGAAGAAAATCTCCTGAGATTAAAAAAAATCAGATTGGAAATAGTCTATATTATCTCACTTGCCCTTTGGTACAGCTATACTCTCACAAACAGTAATGATCTGTCACCTAACAGGAGAGATGGTTTGTTTGATGGTATACCACTGTGTGGGGTAAGTGGGGGGAAAAAATAATTTGGCAAGCACTGATTATACTAAGTAGGAAAAGGGGTATGCATGACAGCTCAAGAAGGGCAAAGGCAAGAGTATTTTCACTAATTTCATTTTAGATAGGGTGAAAAATGGGCTAGAGAGGAAAGTCACAAGGAAGATAACTACTGTCCACTCAAGTTTCATCTAGATCCATCTCTCTGTGAAACTAACAGTATCTTGGGAATTTATCAGAAAATCCTAAATGTAAATTCATTAATATTATCTAGGAGAAAGGAAATAAACTTAAGGACATTAATATTTACCAGATACACTTATATCTAGCCACTCATCGGTTTTACTGAAGTCCTTTTCATTTTCCTTAGGGGAATCAAAGATATCCTTTGATGCAACACTCTCATGCTTTTCTTCTTTGAGAGAAATTTCCTCTGGAGTTATTCTAGTTCTGTTGGAGTCTTCTATATCTATAAAATCATCACTAAAGTCTTCACTTAAATCATTTTTATCAGAAGATGACAAAGAAGACAACGAAATATCATCCACATCATCACTCAAGTATCTCATTTTAGCATCATGTTTCATGGTCTGGTCATTTGCTGTTCTGTAACTTTCATTTTCAATTACTTCTTGGTCCTTCTTAGTAGTACTGTCCTTAGTCAAATCTGCAGTCTCTTCCTCTACACACATGTCAGCAGGTGAATTTTTATTACCATCAACTGTGAGGGTTCCAGCAAATGGAGGTCGGCTAGATTTCAGAAGAGAAGGATGAACCATCCTATAACCCAAAGAGGAAGTTACACCTGGGCCATTGGGTAAAGCCAACTTCTTTCCACCAGCAACATAAGGCCTATGAAATCCATACCCCAAATGTTCATTCCCATTGAGTACTTCTGACTGCCGGGTATTTCTTGTTAGTATACTTGACCGGAGAGGCACTCGAATGGGTAGCTGTTGGTTCTGATAAGGCTTTGTGAGATCTACAGCTCTATTGAAGGAATGTGACCTGGTTATAGATGAAGGGGGAAGGAATGAATTCTCAATGGAATGTGAAAAACTCTGTGACCTTACCATTTTCTCACAAGTAGTAGATTTAATATTGTCTGGGGACTGTGCTAAGCTTTCTCCAGAACTGCTTCTGGTGGCACAGGAGTTTGCTCTAGGGCTTTGCATGCTGCTAGTGGATCGGCTGCCATAAAATCCATTCAGCTGAGATTTCGGAGCACTGATCGAAGAAAAGGAAGTCCTTCCCAATAATGTGCCTTTGGTGAATTTACCCAAATTAGATGGTCCAGAAAAAGACTTTTGGTTTAATTCTTCTGTAGATGACACAAACATAGTGGATGGCTTTGCTATCTTTGATGTGAATAAAGAAGCACTTTTCAAACTTCCTTTTACTCCATTTTTATCAAACCTTCCTTGAGTAGGAGCATGTTTTTCAGGATCGATTACTTTATCATGTAAATTTTGAGTATTATTAGGCTCTTCAGTACTTTGAGCACTAAGTTGATATTTACTTGCTTTTCTCCAGTTAAATGAATGGGACAATGAACAATCAGATCCATTGTTTTTGATGTAACTGTTCACATTACCACTCTTTGACGTTCCTAATAAATTAACAGCTGTCCCATTTGGCACTGGCTGCAGCGTACTTCTTACAGATTTTGCTCCATACTTTGGCAACTTGGAACCCAAAAATGTTTTGATTTGTGTTTTTTCTTCCATGAGCTATAAGGTGCATTTGTTCTTAAAATCTGTCAGAATCTGAGGAGAAAAAAAAGTACATTAAACATTCCTAAAGATTATTACACGGATACATAAACATAGAGAACTACATGTAGAAAAACCTGAAAGCTATTTATGGTTCCTACAAAACTCACAAGCATTGACTATACTAATTAAACCAATTACTTTATGCTGGAAGGAAACACTTTTATACTTTTATAAACGTGGCCTATAGTTGACAGCAAAGCCCATAAATAATAAAATTAGACTATAAATTTGAATATTAAAAAATATTTCTATAGTACGCTGTCCAATTTCCAGTCAAAATAATGTTTACCTTTCGAGTCATACTCTCCTTAAAAGCATAAACATGTGATTTTATGTTTTAAAAAAACATACATCATCTTACAAAACCTGGAATATATTTTTAAAACTTTACTAAGCCATGTAACAGGTGGTGGTAAGGAATAAAACAACCTCAAAAAACATTCCTCAACATTAGTGGTTGAAACATTATCAATTGTCATGTTAAGCAACTATCTCAAGAGACTTTCCATACAGTAACATAAACAGACTACTGTTAGTGCAAAGGTGAGAAGAACAAACATTTAATGAAGTTGATTCATTCATTAATCTCAATTTATTTTAAAGATAAAGCAAAACTACAAACACAAAAAGGTCAATGTACCCACAAGAGCATAAAACTAGTAACTGTTTAATAAATTAAGGCATGCCCTATGATGAGATTATAAAGATGCAAGATAAATATTAAAATGTAAGAGAAATATGGTCATCATCTGCTTATATATAAAAATTCTGTGAAAACACAAAAGCAAAATATAAAAAAAAGAAAATACATGCCTTTGGGTTACTGGTTTTTTTGCATATATTTTATAACACTGTTTTTAATTTGTTAAACTTTTAAATTTAAATCTGGTTGAATGCCGGGCATGGTGGCACATGCCTGTAATCCTAGCACTCAGGAGGCTGAGGCAGGAGGATAGGGTGAGTTTGAGGCCATCCTGGGCTACGAATAAGTTCAAGGCCCGCCTGAACTACACAGTGAAATCCTGCCTTAAAAAGAAAAACTAGTCGGGCCTGGTGGTGCAATGCCTGTAGTCTCCAGCACTTGGGAAGCTGAGGCAGGAGGATCACTATAAGTTCGAGGACAGCCTAAAGCACATAGGAAGACCCTATCTCAAAAAACCCAAAAAAAAGAAAAAAAAAGCAAGAAACCTGGCCTGAGTTAGTTTCTAGAGTACGTAAGTTTTGTTAATTATGTCAAAAGTAAACATTAAGAAAGATCATACAAACTCTCAAGTAATACAGTTACAGAACATCTTGTCCCCAAAAACTAATACTGTAAAAGGGGCAGAATATATAT